CCTGGTGGAGTGTTCTTGGCTGAGGAACAGCATGTGTAGAAGAACATCTGAGGAATTCAGGAGGAGCTGCCTGTGATTCAGCTTGTGTGGGCAGTAGGGGAAGGAGGCTGTGCAATGAGGCTGTGGAGAATGGCAGGCCAGATCAGGGAGCGCATTAGCTCAGAGGTGCAGGAGAGTGACGTGTCCACAGCTCAGTGCTCTGGAGGGAGGCTTGCAAGAGAGTTCTGAAGCACAGATGCAATGTGGGCTAGTTCGTGTGCAAGGCCGTGGTGGCTGCAGGGCTGGTGGGAGGTCAGCAGATTTGGAAAGTGGGGAGGAGGTCAAGTGAATGAATCTTAGTGGCCAATGTGGGGAAGAAGGAAGGAGAGATGGTCTGCACTACTTCAAGACATCTGCTTCTGGAACCTGAGCAATAGAATGGCATTTACTGGCTGAGTGGCAGAAGACCAGGTTTCGGGGGAGGGTCTCAGAGAGAAGTGGAGAGGCAAGGAATTCAGTGTTGGACCTGTTGTGTTGGAGAAAGCTTTTATCAACCGCCTGAATATGTTCTGAATCTTAGGAGAAGAAATCTGGGCTGGAAATAAAGATTTGTGACTCAGCAGCTCCTAATTAGTCTCAATGACTTCTGGTAGTTGAAACCTTTGAAGAGGTAGAGGAGATCTATAAGAGTACTTGATGAGAAAGGAAGGTTGGTAAGAACTGCAGGAAACTTATGCACTTAAGGAAGAGTGGGCCAAAGGGCCACTCCCAGGAACCAGAGTGAAGGTAGTTGGAAAGGTGGGAGAAAGGCTGGGTGGTGCTGAGCCCAGGTCCCCAAGGGTACCCTCAGTGCAGTTGGCTTGGTGCTGTATCCTCTCAGGGACTGTGACTGAACTCACACATCGTAGAAATGATGAGTGAGAAGCCAGAGCTCTCCACTAGCTCAGTAGTCTTCCCAGTTCCCCTGCTTATCTACTTAAATGTTCCAGGAATATGAGAGCCACCTACCTTTTAATTCTCAAATAGTAAGCATATGCTTCATGTTCTGAGTATGTGAGTTAGAATGAAGTGTTTTTCTTGGCTCACTGATTAACTGGTTGTGTTCGTTGGTAAACCATTAGTTTGATCTTAAAACAAATAGGATAGGGGTGAGAAATTAGGTAACTGTAAATATGTAGTGCTGGGCCTAATGCATACAGGTGTTTGGGGAATGAGGGGTTTTGTTTTTGCTTTGTCCTTTTTTATTAGAGAATTTAAGCCTTGTAAAAGTAAACCATTTTGTTTTAGAACTCAATTTTTTATATGGCAAATTTCCATGAAGAGGAAAAAAAGTTAATTATTGATTGAATTGTGCTGTCATAATTAGAATTAGGTTCATAACAAATAGGAACACTATGTGATAAACTTGCAAACAAAACAAAGCCAGAAATTGTACTTGTTACCCCCTTGTTGAATCTGGCCTTCTGTTTGAGATTAATTAGATTTTTGGATAACTACACTAAACCCTGTCATATCCTCATTAAAATTGTTTAAGGGTTTTGAAGAACATCTCAGAGGGACTCCAAAGCCAATCTGAGTCTGGTACTGGAGATTCCATTAGCCTTCCTAAAACTGATTAATCTTTACCCAGTTAGCTTATTGATTATTTCTGCAATTACTGCCTGTTATGGATTATGCGAAGAACAGCAGCAGCAAACACACTCTATAGCTGCTGCCCATGTATTCAGTTTGGGTACCTAGTCTGTCCTTTGTATACACAGCATTTGCATTTTTAAATGCTAGAATACTTCTGAGATGGAAAGTGCTGTGCTAAATGTTGTTTCAGTATCGGCAGATTCACTTTTTAGAAGACTCCTCCACTAAATACCACCTTCCAGTTTACAGAGCCCCATTTCCTAATTCTACGGCCATACTTTAACTTTTGAGTCTCCCAGTTACCCTTGGTAATAAGGGAAATGTTTTCACTCTCATTTGGAAGGAAGTGATGCTCAATAAAGTTAAACAGTTCCTGAGGCTGTGCAAGGTGATGAGTGGCAGGGTTAGGGCTCACCTGCATTTCAGTCGATACATACTTACTGAGCACTTACTATGTGTAGAGCTTTGTGTTGGGGTGATCAAAACCAAGACAGAATTAGTGGTCATTTTGTGACTTTTCTGTTCCAGTCATAAATAACCGTCTTGGTGTGTGAGGTTTAGGGTTTTCACTGTTACTGTTTGTTCCTTTTGTTTTGGGTTAGCCAAAGTCTTGTCTTTGCCACTACTGAAGATTTTTGTCACTGTTTAGAAGCAGTTGGGAGAGAATACCTTCAAAGAAAGATGATATTGAAAAGACAGAGGATCAGATGTAACAGCAACTTGCTGGGCAGTGTTTTTTGTTGCTGTCTTTGCTGTTTTCATCAGTGAGGTTTACATCATTCCTCTGACTGGACCTCATCTTACAGCTGGGCAAAGTGTGGTACAGCAGCATTGCCTCGATGGGGTCATATGCCAGGAGACAGCCAGTGGTGAGGCTCCTGGGGATGAGCCCTCTAACTCTTAAGTGCCTTGTTCATTGTCCTGCACAGCAGCAGGCCTAGTGGCCTGGCTGGACTGCTCTGTGCCAAGATACCACACATGCCCCAGGTGTTATCCTTGCCCATGGGGAAAGCTGCAGATACAGTGGCCTGAGCTCTGAAACTGGTGCCTATGGTCCCCTGGCCCTCAGAGGTCAGTTGTGCACAGTGCACTCACACTATGGGTTTGGTTACCACCCATTGCTGTGTGTCCTTGATAGAACACAAGGTTTTCTATGAACACAAACACAGCTGACGCCTACTGTGTCAGCAGGGGAAAATACACTTGGATTTAGAAAAGCTGTAAAAAGAAAAGGTAAAGCCTAACTACTTGCTTTAGAGGAAGTCTTAAGGGGCATGGTGCATATTGCCGTGGGATTATGTTAATCCAGGAAAAGAGAGCTTAAAATTTGTCACAGTGGTTACAAACATATGTGTTTGCCAGTTGATTTGGCACAGAGCTAAAATGAAAGGGAAACTATTTTTATTTATTTATTTTTGAGGTAAATAAATAAAGCTGGAAAACAGGTCAATTTCATGCATGCAGGGTTTTATAGTAGGGAAAAATGCATTGCACCTGTTCTGACCCTTTACATTTGAGGTTATTTGTTTTCAAACTTGACCCCGAGCACCAGTTTCCGACAACTCTATAATTAATTTTCTAGATAAAGCATAAGGATATTTTATCTGCTTTGATTTCTAGGACCATAGCAAAGTAGAAATCTATCCTATATAGCAGTTAATTAAAGAAAAGCATTAACTATAAGAGAACACCCCCTCTGCTGTTGTCTTGTATCAGTATAAAAAGGCAGTAATTTTTTTGACAGCCACTGATTGGAAAGTTGCTTGCAGCCTTCCAGAAGCAAGGGGTACATGCTGTGGATCAATAACCGGCAAATTTCCCATTAAAAAGAATACCTGAGCAACGTTCCAAATAGCCACTGGCATCTTAATTTTCCACAGAAACCTCAAATACTTGTGTGCCGAGGACAAGTCATTTTCGGACAATTTTTCCAGACTACTTGTTAACAGTTATTGCTGTCCCAAAAGGTTGACAGCCTACATGATTGATACTTCATTTACCTGTCATCGCTGTTGAGTAATGGCGAGCGCTGTATTTCTGTGGTTTTCAGGAACATTCTCTTGAAAGATATTGCCTTGTGTATATTCCAGAGAGTGTTTTGTACATGTTTATGCTGTGTGTATTTGCGTTTGTTGGGCGGGGAAGGAGAGGATTGCCACCTTCCTTACAGTTTGAAAGCCTTTGCAGAACAGGCTACGCTTAGATCAGTGCTAGCAAAAATCCACCTTCTGAACACCTCCACCCCGTCCTACGCACAGCTAACCTTCACCTTCCTCATCTTCCGTGCAGAAAGCCTTGGATTTGTAAACGTCTGATTCTCAAAATGATATAGAATTTTGTGGCTTCCTTGTATTTTTAAGGGAAAAGACTGATCCTGTAGTACCTTTAATGCGTATAAAAACAGCAGGAAGGCACAGGTGTTGTCTTAAAAGAAACTTTTTTACAATGTCAGTAAATGTGATAATCAAGGAGAAATTTCCTGAAAATGCAGTAGTTAAGTAAGATGTGTGTGTTTAAATATAAAAACAGCAAAGATGACAGAGAGCTTTGCTCTTCGACAACCAATGCTTTTCACTGTAGATATTTTTTTCTCTTTGAACATCATTTGTTTGTTCAGTGTTCCAAAAGGTGTAAGAAAGTGCAGAGGTCATCTATGACTTCGGTAGATAGGGAGCACAGGTCCAGTTAGCACACCAGAGAAATGGGGTAGACCCCAGTTCAACCTTAGTGATTTGGGTTTATGAAGGACAATGTGATGTTTTTTCCTTAGAATTTTATTTTTCATGTGTTCAAGATTTTACAGTGAAATTTTGATCTATTTTGAAGTGTGTATAAGGCTGAAGCATGTTTGCTTAAAAGGCAACTACCTGTTACCATGTGGACTCTGTCATCTTTGGTTGAGTCCGATGTTGTTCACTGGCCCCACAGTCTCTGCAAACTTCATCTTCATTATCTGTGCATTTCATACACAAATGTGCATAATGTTTGGTGGACGGACATATGGACTCAAGCCAGGTGTGAACCTATTCATTCTGCTTTACAAAATTCAGAGGAAAAAGACAAGAGGCAATTTGAGAAATTTCTATGAAAATGCTTTTTATATCATTTAAAATGTGTATCATTTAAAGTTTGTTAAATACTAATATGGAGTCTTCCTCAATACTTTTACTTCTAAATAGCAGTGTGGATGATAATACTATACTGGTCTTTCAATCCTGAATATGTTCACTGCAGTCATTTTGGTGTACAAATAGGGGGAGCATGTTCTCCAAGCTGATATGTGCATACCAGCAATTTACAAAAGCACTATGAATTAAACAACCCATAAGTGTCTGTCCCAATATTCATACATTACTGAGTAATCTCTGTCTATTATCTCTTTGCAGTATTATTCCACAGTAATGGAACAACAAGTAAATGGACAGTTAATAGAGCCTCTGCAGATATTTCCAAGAGGTAATGTTGAACAAATTCTAATCAACAATGATTATTTCAGTAAACTGTTTCATCAACAGTTAAGCTTTCCAAAGGTTTAAATGCACATAACATGATGTTTAGCTCTTAATTTGGAAAAAAACAAAAGAAGTATTCATTATCATGGGGATTGCAGACATATTATAGTTATAGCAGATAAAATATCTAATTTACTAGAGTAAATTAAACTAACTAGATTGGTTTTTTCTTTTGAAGTACATACTTACATTCGCTTAAAGAACTCTTTGGGGGTCCACATGGATTCTAAACCAAGGCTAATGGATGGCTTTCATTCTAGATTTATAAACTGTGGCTCTTGATGGTGGCAAAAGCTGCTGTTGCTGTCAGCTAGAGCAGAGAGGCTCTGGGAGAGAACTTTGAGCAGAGCATTAGATGCTTGGCTAGGGGAGGTATTTTCTAAGTAATGGGAAGTCTTCTTCAGTGGCAATTTGAGGGTGAGTCTCAGTGAACTCCCTTTTTAGGATAGGCAATACCAACCTTGTTTCGGTATGATTGTTCAGCTGCATGTAAATGTGCCCTCCAAAACTGAATAATGGTGAAAAGAGCAGCTTAATTATATAAATCATTAAGTCTTTTCACCCATTATATATTGCCCCACTTGAAATCCATGTTTTTCTAACTAACGGAATGGATAACGAAATTCTCCAAGTAACTCTTCTAGAAATAACTTAATTGAAATAATTAAAAGTTAAACTTACCTTCGTTAACTAATACTGTACAAATAATCATGGTATGAGTTTTCCAATTAAACATTCTAGACTTTCATTACCTGTAACTCTGAAGTTTGAATGGCTCAATTAACCAGTGGGCTCCTATTTGCAAAGATAATCTCCAAAGGCAGCTGATTTGGCCAGCCCTGAAGGAGAACCAGGTTCAAGGCTAATACTGCTCTTCAGTGTTTGCGTGGGCAGCAGAACCAGGGGAGCTTATTTCATTATTAGTAAGAACTTATTGAAGTGCTAATTGAGGTAATAAAATTGGGCTATTTAAGATCAGTGGTTATCCAAAAGAAAGTTATGATTAATCTGATTTTGTGGTATTTGACTCAGAACCCAAACACAGAGAGGTTGTGCTGTTTTCTTTGTAGAAACTCCTGACAAGGCTGTAGATTCTTTCCTAGTTTTCCTATTAACTGTGGAATTTGGGCAGATTTCAAAATTGTTTCTCTATAAGCACCAGTGTTCTACAAGCAGAAAATTTTCATCAATTACTTCAGAGCTCTGTTACAACAAAGCCAAGTACAGAATCCTAGAGAGCGTTAGTCCCAAGATACAGGGCTTTGTTTTCCTTTTCAATAACTGTTTCCTTCTCTCTGTGGGGAAAGATTCAGATTCTGTCTGTTCTGTTTGACTGCCCTTGACTCTGAGCCTCCCATGGCAGCAGCCATTCTTAGACACCTGTTTAGGCCATGACTTCTCTCAGCGGATCCACCTGTTAGGTTGTATTGCTTCCTTTGTACAGATGAGGCTGTTGAGGTTCAGAGGGGTTGGGTAACTTCAGAGTCACACAGCTGATAAGTGGTTATTGTAGGACTCTTTACAAACTTTGTTTAAATCAACAGTTTGCTTACAGTGGAAAGGCATGTAAATTAAAATTCTAGTGGAGTATGCAAGACAGGAGTGTGGAGGGTTCAGTGTGGGGGCGGGGGAAGAGTACAGTGTAGGGAGATGATACTGTAAAGAAAGGCAGGAATATGAGATGTTAATATCACATGGCATCCAATCATGATACATATGAGGCTTCATAGATTATTAAACACAATCCTTCTAAGCCATATTTAGAAATGCAAACATGACTCAGTCTCCCTTTTGGGGGGTTCTTTTTGGTGCTATGATTCAGGTCTTTCTAGCTTTTATCATACCTAAGTGGGTGAGATAATGAACTGTGTACAATTAGCATGTGGCTATGGTGGGCAGGTTCCCTGGTCCTATCTGGTCTGAGGCCGTAAAGTCTCACACCTTCGATTCTGTGTCTAGGCTTATAAAGAATCTGTAGATGGAACAAGTGGACAGGAGGAGAGAATGTTTTTTTTCTAACAGCCTACAGCTGCCTTGACTAGCATTTGACTCCAGCTCATGGCCAAGTCTCCCCTTGTGGTTCAGCGATATGTTAAATACTGATGAAAACTGGCTAACTTTGTATCTTATATGAGGATATTGGGGTTTTGACTTTAACATAGCTGTTTAGATTTCTAGTCAGAAAGGTTTGAGGAGCAGCAGTGTAAGGTTAGAGACAGATGAGCGTCCTGGCCTGTCTCTCATTCCCTGCTCAGCCACTTTCTTGGTACAGTTCCTGAATGTACCAGTTTCTGCAGAGGAAACAGTCTGAAGCATTGTCTTAGGAAATCCTGATGATCCTTCAAGGACGAGGCACCAGATGTTTGTGACTATTGTTTTGTTCAAAGAGTTAATTTCCATTTTAAGGAAAGAAGATCTGGAGTCTTAATGCATTTTAGAAATAAAATTAGAAATGTGTATTCATGTTTAGATATCTTTCCTGGGAAAATAAGATAATACATTTAAATTACTTGAAATCCCCCCACATGAAAGCAGCTCAGGCTTTGCATCACCTGACTCTCCTTATTATTAAGCAGTTCTATCTCTGTGGTCAGAAACAGGAAAATACATGGAGATCTGAGAGAGGAGAAAAAAAAAATCAAATTCATCCTTCCCTAAACAATCAATCAAAATTGACAGCCCCTTAACATACAATTTGTAGGGTGCTATAGTTTTCAAATGGAAGCAGTCTATAACATGGACAGGAAGCTTTTGTGTTTTTAACATTTGATGAAAAAGCATTTGTAGAATTGGAAAAGTCTACCTGTAACTCAAAGTGGTATTGAGAAATTAATATTGTTTTTCCTGGTCTGCTTTATCTAAATATTAGCAAATGTCAAGATTTGCAACAGACATCATCAAATTATATACCTGTATTTTAATAAATTCGATTGCTTGTGGCTATACAAAACAGTATTCAAACTTGAATATTCCATCTTAGAGTCCCTAGCAGTCTTTTTGGCATTAAAAGATCCTTTACTTTTCTTCCCTCCCTCCCTCCAAAACAAAACAAAACTGGAAACTAAAAGCAGCTATTTTCTAAGTAGTTTAACTGGTAGCACATATATGATATAATTGAGTGAGGAAAGATTGCAGACATTTGAATTATGAAAGGAGTTTCATCATTTTTAGCTCAGTTAACTTAGTTTTTGTATGTTTTAAGCAGAAATTGGAATTTATATGATGAAGTAGTGTCAGAAAGCTCTTTGCATTTATAAATGCTCACTCCTGCAAGTTAAAACCCGAGTTCATAATTCCCACTTTGGGTCTTGGGAGCCACTTTTCAATCATTTCTCTCTGCTAATTTTGGTGTCACCCTCATTTCTTTTTAAACGATTCATTTTGAGCAAATTTGTAAATGGCCCTGATGTGTTCCACAATTGAGTCAATTACTGTTTCAGCCTGCAAGCCTCCTGGGGAGCGGAACATACATGGCCTAAAGGTACGGATTTCAATAATTGTTTCAGCAAAGTTAGATGGATTTGTAATGCTGCGTTCCACTTATTGAAATGTCAAATAAAACTGCACTTTCTCAAGCTCTGACAAGCGAGCCCCCCCTTTTTTTTTCTTTTTTGAATGGGAGGTAGAGGGGCCACATCTCTATTTGCTTACCATGTATATGCTGATACTGGACTTTTGGTACTATATTTGTAATTATTTTGTTGGTCACTTTCTTCAAGATAGTCCTGGAGACTGGTCTCCACAAAGATTTATTGGAGTGAAACATAGACTTCATTTCAGTGATTAATTAAGCACATAAGCATATTGCACACAGGGTACCCCTCTCTTCTCTTGACATATTTATGCTAGAAACATATATCTAGTTAATGTCTTTTCATTGTTCTGTGTATTGTGAAGTCTGAATTTCTGCTTAAGGCTTCCCATCTGAAAGAAAAGCTGGCCATTTTTATTAGGCTCAAGTGTTTTATAATTAATTACTTGGACCTCATTTTCTAGTGAATGAGAAACAGTGTACAGTGTTCTGCCTGATTGTAGCACTGGAAGAGGGTTATATCCTGAGGTTTGTTATGAACCCCTAGATAGATGACTAATGTGCTTTTATAACATCTTGTTTTTATATGTGTTTTATATAGTAAATTTGGATGCCCCCCTTTGTTTATCTCTCTTTTTAGCACTGTTTAAGTATTTGAATAATGACAGGAATAAAGGATTACATAATATACAGATTTTACAGTCCTGTAACCTATATACTGAATAGACCCCAACCATGGGTCTGTCTAGCAACAAGCTAATTAACCTTCATAGTGAAATGAGAAATTTCATGGCAAATTATAGGTTAATTAGAACTGTGTCCTCAGAACACAAGGTTGATCAAACTTCTTTATTTATAGGTGAATACCCGGGCTGGACCGTCTCAGCATACCAGCCCAGCAATCTCAGATTCGCTTCCAAGCAATAGGTGAGGACAAGAAAGGAGAGGTGCACCTGATTATCTATAGAAGTGGCGGTGGTATGGGAAGAGGCTTGTGGAACGACATTTCATGTATTTGTGACTGGAGACATGGCTTGGACATTAAAGACTCAGGCTCACAATCTATACATCAAGAAAAAAAGGTGTATGTGGCCATAAAGAAATTTGACCAGCTAGGTAACCCTTTCTACATAATGGCCAAAGGAAGAATACTTCATATAGAAAGAGGAAATTAGGCTTGAGAGATGGCTCAGTTTGTAAAGCACTGTTGTATGACCATAAGGATCTGAGTTTGGATCTCAGTACCCATGTAAAGCTAGATGTGGTGTGGCAGTGCATTTCTACAACCCCAGTGCTGGGGAGGTGGAGACAGGCCAATCCTCAGAGCCTACTGGCCCAGCCAGCCTAGCTGAATCCATCAGTTTCAGGTTCAGTGAGAAATCCTGTCTCAAAAACTAAGGTGGAGATTGAGTGAGAATACCAGACTTTGGCCTCTGGCCTCCACATGTGCACATTCATGCACGCACCTACACAAACATATACCTAATGGTACACACACACACACACATCAATAAATAAAAAGAAGAAATTAACATATTAAACTGCTAATTTTGTTCTGAAGAGTTTTCCATTTTTTCTTTTTGAGGCAAGGTCTCTCTGTAGCCCCAGCTGGCCTGGAACTCACTATATAGACCAGGCTAGCCTAGATCTCACAGAGATTTGACTGCCTCTGCCTCCTGAGTACTAGGATCAAAGGCACGTGGCAACACGCCCCTCTGTTCTCCAAATTGTATAGCCTGTTCTGAGACTGTTCCATGCCTTGGTGATCCAGCTTGCAAGCTTTATAATGAATGCTTTTTCCTTTTCCTTTGGTTTTTTTTTTTTGCTTGCCCACCTTTTGATGGTGTCACTGTCTGCTGGCATCTTCACCAGAGTTAGGGACAGAGTAAAATGGTGACATTTAACTTAACCAACCACACTGCTCATTAGTGGTATCTTTGTGCAGGAGGTTGAAGCCTCTGTTAACAGGAAGGCCATTTTTGTTAATTTATGCTAGCATCACCTCATACTGATACAGATACTTAAGGCTTAAGGTTTTCAGAATCTTCTTGTAAGAGAACTTAACTGTCAGACCATCATGGTTCTCAAGTCGAAGGCATGGCCGGCCTCATTTTGACTGTTCAGTTATTCAGCCGCTAAACATCATGTTCCTGAGGGTGACATTGGAAGATGGCTGCTCCATATTGCAGCCACACTGGTGGCTGAAAAGCCAACAGATCCACAAAACCCTTCAGTCCTGTACTGAAGGATCTCTAGGTTTAGGGCCTTAATCAGTGTGTGCCTCTGTTTTATTGACTGAGAAAGTTTAGGCCTCTCCTTGTCCTTCATTGCTTCTCTCCCCTCCTTTTACCCATCATCTTGGTTCTTTGGCGGGGGATCTGACTTACTCTGGCTCACAGTTTTGGAGGCTGAAGGTCCAGTTGGCCTGGCACAGGCTGGTGAGTCCCCTTGGCTGCCTCTCCTCATAGCAGGTTGCAGTTATGGGAGCATCTGCAGGAGTGAGTGACCTCATCTTAATACCAGAAGCCACAGAGACTCTTAGCCCCACAGTCCTGCCCCCTCCCTCCCTTCCTCCCTCTCTTCCTCCCTCCCCCCTTCCCCCCACTTTTCTCATCCTTCCCTCTTTCCTTGTCAATCAGCTCCAGAGTATAACCTGTCTCCACTCAATTTTGAACTATACTGTGTTCAATCACAGTCCATGTCTCAAATCTCAGTGGAGCACTCTGGGAGCACTGTTGAGTTTCACCTCAGTCATTCTCTTATAAACACCTTTTAGAGTCAGCATCCCCCTCACCGTCCTCACACTGCTATCTGTCACTTAACTCTGCTTTGTTATATCTTTTAAAGGCCATCTACAAGGCAGTGAATCAACATTTATGTTCAGACATTACACAGAAACGTTTGAAAAGGAAATAAAACAATTTGTGAAGCAGCAAGTTCTCAACTAGGACCAGAAACCCTTGGTAGAGTATGATGCTTGACTGTTAATGATCTCATCATTCACTTCTTTTACTTCAACAAGTGACAGAAAATTTGTAAGTGTAATTTAAGCCATATTCTAATGATTTGTGTTTTGTTCCAGAGCACTTTGTTTTCATTATGAATACTGCTCTGGGAAATCCCTTGAGACTCCCTTCTCAGGTGCTCCAGGCTGAGTCAAGGTGACAAAGCCAACCAAGACAGACACTATAGATGGCAAGCGTTCAAGTTTGTATTGTATTCTAGAAGCTTCCATCAGTGAGAGCTGAAGGTAGGATCCACCAACAGCCTTACATGGTTCTTTCTAGGGAGAATCCCAAGGAATGACAGCCCTCCCTCTCTCCTTCCCTCCCTCCCTCCCTTCCTTCCTTCCTTCTTTCCTCCCTCCCTACCTCCCTCCCTTCCATTTTTGAGACCAAGTCTTGATATGTAGCCCAGTTAGGCCTCAGACTTGTGGCCATCCTCCAGCCTCAGCAGCCCAAGTGCTGGGATTACAGGTGTACACTGCCATACCATCTTTACAGTCCTCCCCTTTTAAAAATATATGAATGTTTTGCCTGCATTTGTGTAAGTGCACCACATGTGTGCAGGGCCCACAAAAGCCAGAAGATGACCTCAAATCCCCTGAAACTGGAGTTACAGGAGATTCTGAGTCACCATGTGGGTGCTAGGAACGAAACCTGGGCCCTCATTAAGAACAGCAAGTGCTCTCTCCAGCCCCCCACAATCCCTTTTGAGTACATACTCCCAGTTGACTTAAAGAACCCCACTAGGCTCCTCCTCCAAAGCCACTTCCCTGATTATTTTTCTATTTACCCACTAACTTTCCTGCTGAGAACACATAGCTCTTAAAGGGTGTCTCTTTGAACAGTTGATTATATCTTAGAGTACAGTGAGCTTGTCAGTCACCAGTGTGTCATCTGTCTGTGGTCATTCGGGCAGATGTTTGGTTCTCCACAGAGAATTTTGCTTTGCAGCCAGCCACTCTGTCCACACAGCTTGGATAGATGAGCCGTGGAGGCACGGGGGCAGAGGGCCACTTGTTCACACAGCTCCAGGAAGGCAGAACATTTCATTGGTACCACTGATTCCAGAAAAGTTGGTGTCCACACAAACTGTGAGCCCTGAGGAAACCAGGGTTTGCCCTGGTGTTTTAGGTTAAGTTTCCTCATGGTGTAAAAATCCAGATGGCATTGAAAAGATGGCAAAAACAGAGAAGCCGAGTAACTTCTCCACCTTCCCATTGTTGTTTAACAGCAAGTGAGAATTAGCTTGGTTATTTTAAAATTAATCATGTATATTCATGAACAGCAGAATATTCATGACACTTGGGTTGGACAGAACTCTACCATCTGAGTATCTCAAGGTTCCGCCCTTGGAGTCTTCACTTAGGGATATGACAGTAGTAAGGCTAGCAGTGATTCCTACGATGGGAAGAATGTTAATTGAAAAAATCCTACAGCTGTTTTTAATATGTTACCCTACGTTGGCTATGTTCTGTGCCCCAGGTTGATAACTAATCAGCAGGTATTTATTGAGTGCCTCTTATTCAGTAGTTGCTGTCCAAGGAATACAGTGTAGTAGTAGTGTTGTAGAGGAAACAAGCCAGTACTAAAGGAAAACATACTAGACAGGAATGTGTTTAGATTTAAACTGGGTGTTCAGAGAGGGTTCCTTGGGGAGAGTGATGTTTCCACCCAGGCCTGAAGGATAAGGAGGAGCAAGTTAAATCAAGATGCAGACATTTCAGCTAGCGGGACATGCGTAAAAGAAGGCCCTGAGAAGCTGGACTTGTTTATAAGTAGGCTGGTTTGGCTGGAGCACAGAAAGCCATGCTGGATTGAGGCTGGTGTGGGAAGTAGAGGGGAGAGCAACTAGGAGGTAAGGAGGAGGTAAGGGTGCAGACAGGAGTCAGGTCATGTGGGGCCTAGAAGTCTAGCAGTGCTTCCCTTTCCCTCAAGCCCTGGGGAGCTGAAAAAGGGCTTTGGTAGCAGAGGGCATGTGGCCTGGTGTTCTTAGCAGACACTCTTCCTGTGGGGAGGAGGAGGAGAAACACCAGCTAATCCTGCGCTCCTTCGATGCTTGACTTCTTGCCGAATGGGCTTCCAGGCTCTTCCTAACATCCCTGAGCCAGGGACACATTTTGTGAGCCAATGCAGCCCCTTTTGTTTTCATTTAGGAACATCCTAGAAGGTTCTTTTGTCTGAGCTGGGCTATCTCCCTTTAGCACCCACTTGTAAGGATTGATTTTTTCCCTCAGACATGGCTCTTCCCTCTTTCAGGTTATAACTCCTCTGTCCATCATCTTCTCTCCAAACATGCTTCTTCTTGACTTCCCACCTCTCCATACCCACTCCTTTGCTAGCTTGATAACTTGCGTCTCATCCTTCTAGTAGCCTCCTCTTTAGGAGTCCTGTGCCTGTCCTCTTTCAACATCCCTGTGGATGCACAGGTGCTCCAGGCTTTCCAGATGACCTCCACAGCCTCCTGGCAGTCCCTCCTCAACCTTAGCTGCAGTGGGTCTTGCTAATTATATATTAGTTAGCTTCTTTTCACTATAATGAAATACCTGAGATGGCCTGTTTTGTTAAGATAAAAGGTGTATTTAACTCACACTTTGAGGGGTTAAAAGTCTAAACAGCCCGGAATAGGCTGTCGTAAGAGCTCCTCATGGCTGCCTCTCCTCATTGCAGATTGTATGGTAGGAACATGTGTAGGACTAAGTGATACTGGAAGGCAGGGACTCTGTTCCTCAGTGCCTTTTGAGGAAACACCCCCAATTGACTTAAACACTGCCCACTAGACCCCACCTTTTAAAGGTATAGACCCTTGTCAAGTCTCCTATATTTGGATGACTCTTTTGGGAATAAACCAACTCCAAACTGTCACTCTAATGCACATTTCTGAGGTACCATTCCCCACTGCACATTGCAATGTATCATCTCTGTTCCCCAGTAGCTTCTGTGCTCTGTGGGGCCAGTGACTACAGTATATTCACTGTTGAGCCCTGACCTGAGGTGTGGCACATAGGAGGTGACTACATGCTTGAAGGGTGGACGACTGAGTGTGCCTGCATTCTCTTTAACTCCTCTCAGATCGAGTTCTCCCAACACACTCAGCTTTTTTCAGGTGTTATTTCCAGTCCCTTTACCATTTTACACTTAAAATTTTTTTTATTTATTATTTCATGTGTATGAGTGTATTGCCTGCATCTATGTAAGTGCACCTGTGTAGGTATAGGATCCCCTGGAACTGGAGTTAGAGATGGTTATTAACAACCATGTGGATGCTGGGAACTGAGTTTTCTGTAAGAGCAGTTGGTGCTCTTAACTGCTGAGCCATCTCTCCAACCCCATTTTACACTTTTGTTTTTGGTTTTGTGAGTCAGTATCTCACTCTGTAGACCAGTCTGGCCTAGCACTCCCTATGCAGCCCAGGTTGACCTTGAAGTCACAGCAATCTTCCTGTCTCAGTCTTCTGAGTGCTACGATTACAAGTCTGAGCCACTGTGCCTGGCTCTGCCTTTTTATTCTTACTCTTTGGATATCTTAGTGTCTCTCTTCAAGTATTATATCCAGCTCACAGTTATATGGTACTTATATTTTAATGTATTTTTAAATGTTTTGTGAAAACTCAGGCAATTCTAAACATAATTGAAATAGTGACTAAACGCAGAGTCCAAACCAAATTTCAAAGATGAAATTTTTTTGTGTTTCTTTTTTTGGTCTTTTTGAAACAGCTGGCCTGGAACTCAGTATGTAGATCAGGATGGACTTGAACTTAGAGATCCGCCTGCCTCTGCCTTCTGAGTGCTGGGATCAAGGCATGTGCTTACCTTGCCTGCCAGGCCTTTTCTCTGTCACTTTCAAAGCATAAGTTGTTCTTTGGCATAAGTAAATGACTGTTTATTATTAAAGTCAGTTTACTAATCCACATGTGTTCCTAGGTCATAATCACTGATTCAAGTCCCACTGCCAAGGGAAGACCTTTCTAAATAACTTGGCCTTCTCCTTTCGTAAAATTAGGATGATTAAACTTTCCATCCGTGTTCTGCTAGTGTAAGATTGATGAAGCTGTATTAAGGCATCATGTTTTGTTTCTTGGATGAAAGGCATTTGTAAATGCAATGAATCAAAATGTTATTATTTCAAGCTTATGACATAATGGAATGTTTGCAGAGAAACTGTGTGTAAGGCTTTGTTTGATTATGTATTTTTACAATAATTGGAACTATCAAATTGGGAGTCATTTATGGGAATGCTAAATTTAAATATTTCTCAGAAAATGTGTGTGTTTGTAAGAGACACTCTTTTCTTTGGATGGGATCTATACCTTTTCTTTATAAATTAGGGATAATAACTATTCACAAAGGAGTATAGTTCCTGTGAGGGCTAAATTAGAATGATAAACAGTAACATCAGTACAGTGCCTGGCATCCTTTGTCACTCAATAGATAGTAGCTACTGTTACCATTCTGTTGACTAGACCAATTTTGGGGCAGCTGTTTATATTTTGTTGTGTACTGCAACTTTAGTTCTATTCTGTGAAATTCTTGAGTATTCCTCTAGTGTGGTTGCACTTGGAAGGACACTATTAACCTAGAATCCTTAGGTGAGGACATAAAGTGGGAACTGAGGCTCAGTAGTTAGTCTGTGTTGGACCACAGCAGAATTTTAAGGAGTGGTTTTTAAAAATATTTTTTTATTATTTTTATTTTATGTGTATGAGTATATTGCCTGTATGTATGTGAGTGCATCCATGTTGTGCAATGCCGTGGAGGTCAGAAGAGGGTTTTGGATTTCCCTGGAACTGGAGTTAAGGACGGTTCATAGCTGCCATGTGGGTGCTGGGAATCGAACCCGGGTCCTCTGTAAGAGCAAACAGTGCTCCTAACCACTGAGCCATCTCTCCAGACCTTACGGAGTGTTTAGAGAGAATAATTATCACTTGAAATGAAAATGTGGTTCAACTCAAAGTCTGAGATTTTCTCTGGTGTCACGTACTAAAGGTACCAGATGGAACACATGTATGTTTCAGATCTTGGCTCCTTTTGCTTTCTGGTATCCTTTTTATCTTCATGACATGCTGTGTTCCCACTATTGCTGCCACAGTATAAGAGTGACCACCATTTCTTTAAACTTAGCACATGCCAAAGTCTCTACCTGACTGGTTAAGGAATGAGAACAGTACGGAGTGGAATAAGGTGAGGTCTGTGTTTTCAGGGAGCTTCCAGTTGTGGGCAAAGAGTGTGGTGAGAAGAAGGTATCTCTACTGCTAGCTAACAGGAGGGGGAGTGAACTGGCAGCTAGGTCAAGAGTTAGGAAGAGCACTAGCAAGCTTTAACTTCCAAAGAGAATGTTAGTTGTGGGGACGGCCATTTTACACCACACTCTCCTTAGCTGGTGGCTGTGTAGAGGTTTAAACTAATTTTAAAGCTAGAAGATTTCAGAACTTTGTGTGACCATCCCCTTCCTTAAGAACTTTCACTAAACTCATCCACAGAAGTGTTTACATGCTGTGTTAGCCATTTTCTGCTCCTATAACAAGTATCTGAGATTATCAGCCAATAGAGAGAAAAGGTTTGTTTTGTTTCACAGTCTGAGAGGTTTTGGTTCATAGTTGGGTCCCATTGCTTTCTGCCCCATGGTAGGGCAGCACACCATGGTAGGACTGTATGGTGGAGGAGCTGCTCTGTCCTGGTAAGGGAGGCAGAGAGAGACAAAAAGGAGATGGGTGTCCCACAATCCCTGTAGAGAGCATGCTCACAATGGCCTTAAACATCCTACCAGGCCACATGTCTGAGTTTCTACCACCTCCTGATAGCATCATGCTTGGGGCCAACCCTTTACCACATGGGCCTGTGGGATATACTCAAGCTAACTAAATAGCACGAAGCCATATAAACCAGAGAACATTTTAATAGTCAGTAAATAATAACGGAAGTTGAGTTTCCTAGGAAAGTAAAGGCAAGAGAAGACAGCTACAGTTTTTTTATTCTATTCATAAAAATATGTCTGTAGTATACCAGACAGTACTATTTTGCAGTATTTTATTTTCCTGGTGATCATCTGTATGGCTATTTTATAGAAAGAGGAGTTGCAGTTCAGAGAGGAGAGAGAATATGTTGTGGATCATAGAGCTGGTGACAGGTTTTATTTCTACTACACGTTTGCTTCCAGGATGCTGAATTGTATAACTCTCATCTGTAGTAAAAGACCATCTATTTTATCTTTTGAAGTTCTCTAATCTTTGCTACCTATGAACATTCTAAGAGTACACTGGTAGTACAAAGTACTCTGTGCTTTGCAGGTGCGAATCCACATACACTGTTCACCGAATGAAAGGCTACCTGAAGGCAGCAGAAGCAGTGACCAAGTCCCTGCAGCACTTCATAAAAATAAGATAGTTTCCATGTGGGTGCTGGGATTCAAACCCAGGTCTTCTGCAAGAACAACCAGTGTTCTTAACCGCTGAGCCATCTCTCCAGGGGATCTGACCTCCAGCCTCTTCTGACCTCTGCGGGCATTGCATGACACGGGTGCACTTACCTACATGCAGGCAATACACGCAACACATAAAATAAATTAAAAAATAAATAAAAAATTTTAAAAAAGATAGTTTTCTCTGAACCATCCCACTTTGTTACTCTAGATTACTAACAGAGTTTTAGTCTCCTTGATGATACCCTTGGCATTCTGCCAGATACTTAGAAAGAAAAAGAAATCTTATACACGGGGAGGAGTTTATTCTGCACCTACAGTTAAAAGCAAAGGCATATTGGTCTAGAATTTTCTTTTTTATTTCAATTTTTATTTATTATTATTTTAAGAGAGGAGATCTCATATATCCTAAGCTGGTCTTAAACTCCATTGTAGCTGAGGCTAACCTTGAACTTCTGATCCTCCTGTCTTCTGAAATTGTAAATGTATGCCACCATCCCCTGTTTATATGGCGTTAAGGATCAAACCCAGAGCCTGGTACATGCTAGGCAAGCACTCTGCCAACTGAGCCATATCCTCAGCCCTGTTCTGGGATTTTCAGTGGCGTTCAGAGGTGTTGGTGATCTTGCCACTAAGAATGTCTTTCCTTTTCAGCTTAAAGAAGTCTTCTGCTGAACTGAAAAAGATTCTAGCCAATGGCCAAGTAAGTATTGTTGTGTATTAAGATTTTCTATGTAATAGTGCCCTGTTGCTGTCCAGTTTTATCCCTAATAAGTATTAAAGAATAAAGAGCATGCACATCTCTTATCATAAATGAACACCATGGTGTAATTTGATTGGCAGAACAATTTGCAGCATGTTTTTCAAACTGTGCTAATAGGTTTCATTCCCAGCAGATGGAAGCACCGTGCACACACCCTGCTGCCATCTCAGTTTTAAAAAGTTAATCAGTTCTGAGCAAGTGCGTCAGCCAATGGGTTGTCAAATGACCCTGCATTCTGAGGTGACTGTTTCTTTCTTTTTCTTTGGGGACAAAAGGGAAAACAGTTACTTTCTTAACTCCTTCTTTTGTTCAGAGACCCCTGGCTTTTTAAGGGAGCCAAGGAGGAGCAGACCTTTAGCACACCAGTCCCTGGGCTTCAGGGAACCTTGGCTTGCCTAGTCAATGGGCTATTGAAACTGAATGACCTAACCCCACCAGGAAAGGCCAAACGGGCCTGCAGGCCACTTATTTCTGATGAATTTTGATTCAACTAAATGGACACATCTGAAATAGTATAGTGCTTTTAAACAAACACTGGTAAACGAAGCTACCTACAGGGGCTGCGATTCCTCAGTAGCAACAGAAATGCGTTTTAATGTTTGTTATAGTGGAAACCCTTTGATAGCCTCAGAGGCAGTGCCTGTCCATTGCGATCAAGCCTGCCTATTAGGCTCTATTGACTGAGACATCTGTGTCACTGCAAATAAAAGACTCTTATTGATTTTCTTAACTGCTGTTCACTTCCCGTCCATGTTTGGAAGGCTGAAATCTTGATTATCTCAGATGCTTATTCAGTGCTTTCGCACGCCGACCTCTCCAAGCCTCATTGGCATTTCATGAATCAAGTACTTTAGTGGAACATGTCAAGAGGACAAAGCTGGGTCCTCAGCCTGTCCTTTAATATCACCTGTAACATCACAGCCTAACAGAGGAGCATGCCTTAAAACACAGACCTCGAGAAGTGCTTCTGGAAGCTTGTTTAGCACACAATCCTGTGAATACAGAAAATGAAAGCCGGTCCAGTTCTGGCAGCCCTCATACAGTGTGAGTGGACTGTGGTCATTAAATATTCTGCAGATGACTGAGGAGACTCTCACTGTTGTGTGTGTGTTTAATCTTGGCAAATTTTTAAATAGACTTTTTTTTCTGGTGCTGCAATCAAGCCCAGGTCCTTGTGCATGCCAAGAAACTGATCTACCACTGAGCTATAACCTCAGGCTCTAAATTTTAGATGGCATTTACCCTACTTTTACCTGGAGGTAGACAAAGGTTTGTTTGGATCGGGGTCTGCATTTATAGCCCCTGTGCCTGATGTGTGCGCAGAGCCAGTATGAAGCAAACTTGACTAAAAGCAGAGCTATCAAGCCAAGACTATTTATACATTTTCAACGTACTTGCAGTCCAGTTACTAATTGTCATTTATGTACAAGTCACTTGTGTTCTTCAACTGGAAAATATATTTCAAAATTGACATAAATTAAGAAGCTTTAACTACATTTGTTCAAGCCAGACAATGGAAAATAACCTGTCATAGAGTTCTTTTTCAAAAATGAAAAACACTTTCTTTTCAACATACACACACAAATCAGTATTCTGAAATGCCCCTAATGTTTTGACAAAAAAACAAACAACAAAAAAACATAGCTCTATAAATATCTAAGTGGCCTCAGTCCGAGGTTCTCTGTTGCGGGAGATTGGCACAACAATGGTTTTTGACATGTAAAGATTGTTTATTGCTTTCTCTTGGGAATGTACTAACCCCATATTAAGCAATATAGCAATTCTTTCTTTTAAGGATAGCTTGTCTTATATTTACTTTCACTCATAAATACATACATACATACATAAATAAATAAATAGGAGTGACTCATTTCTGGAAGCTTTCAAAATACCTACTGGTACTAATTCTTCCATTGGTGCCATAGAGTGACTAAGCTGCAGGGGAGATTACATTGCAGTGAGGTAATACGCACAGTGTAGGAGTCAGTAAATCTCTGGCTGAACACTGACACCACTTGATATGGAAGATGTAAGTTAAATTTAACGATACTTTTAACACGTGAGCATAGTTTTTTTAATTTTAGTGGTTTAAGCTCTCAAGCATTAATAATGATTTGCCTTTCCACTAGCCTCCACTTAGATTTCATAAGGAATTCATATTAATCATTAAAAGAAAGGGACATGATTCTTCAAGATAATCAAATATTGACAGGTTAGAAATAGCTTTCTGCCTAGGTTCATTGATATAGGTTATGTGATATAAATATTTATTTCTTTTCTGTCACTCAGAGTAAATGCCACCAATTGATTCAGCATTGATATAGTGTCAACAGTTCATAAGAAACATTTGACTGGCTTGTGTTTTCCGATTAGTCTCTGCTCTATAAAGTGGGATTTACTAAATCTCTCCAATTGTCTGCTCAGAGAGTGTGACTGCTTTCTGAAACCATTATTGCTTCGATTTGTGAAGCAAAGGTCTAGTGATAGGGCTCCTTTCTGTCAGACCTTTACATTTAAAATAGGATTAATTGAGCATTTTTATTTTAATGATTTATAAGCAATACATACTTATTCTTCTTAATAGAGGCAGACAATAAACAAAGAAGATATTCTGTGCTAATCCATAATTGAATTCCATTTCATTGTCCCCATTAATTTCTTTAATAAGTTAAATCAAGAACTGGTTTGAAAGTTTAGCGCTTATTCTTTGGAGTGGAGCTATTCTCTCCCTGTTACCACGTTACTATGGAGGATGCTAGTTTTCTCGCTTAAAAATAAAAGATAATTTGGGCATGTTTTATTGAGAACTATGAATCAGGCTCACTGCCATATTTTTGGAGTCTGTTTTCCCTACTAGGGTCCAGTGTGGCATTGTCTGTCTAACATTGGCCCTGGGTTTGAAACTGATTGGAAACAGCCAAGAGGGTCAATTTAGAGAATTTTTTTTTTAATTTATGTGTATGCATGTATTGCCTGTGTGTGTATAAGTTTACCCATGTCGTGCAGTGCCCGCGGACATCAGAAGAGGGTATTGGATCCCCTGGGACTGGAGTTACGGACAGCTGTTAGCTGCCATGTGGGTGCTGGGATTCGAACCCGGGTCTTCTGCAAGAACAGCCAGTGTTCTTAACCACTGAGCCATCTCTCTAGTCCCCAATTTAGAGGATTTCAAAAGTAGACAGTCACCCAAGGATCTGTGACTTTGACCTCTGTGTCTCCAAAGTCATTTCTCCTACTTTTGTTTTTTGATTTTGTAGGCGAGAGTTGCCCATATTTTCCTTTTCCTGCTAAATTAAAGTTAACTATTATGCAGCATCAGAGCCAGTTTCCATTCCTGCCACATCTTTGTTACTTCCAGAACTTAAGATACCTTTAGAAAAACTCTGAGGTTTAGGAAAAAAGTGAGGATAGGAATCTGCTATAAAATTACCTTTAAAAGCTGAGTCAACACCAATATGTAAAAGTTTCTAATTCTAATGGTGCATCTTGACTCCCATGTGAAGACTGAGGTGGAGTTGAGGCTGAGTAAAGTCAGAACTGCACGAGCCCTCCTTCCCTCCCAGACACAGCCTGACCAGAGGCGGCCACTGTCTCCACTGCTTTCTTGGCCCCGGTTTCTCTTTTAACTGGACTAGAGATACTTCCCATCATCTTTCCAGGTCCTTTGCTTTTTTGGCTGTGGACATGGAGTGATTGTAACTCCTGTGGCATTTTCTTCTTCCTCCCTCACATCTATTATTCGTCTTATTTGATTTTTAAAGTTAAAACAAGAAAAATGAACTATAGTTAACTGGCATTTTGGGGCCAGAGAGATGGCTCAGTGGTTAAGAGCACTGGTTGCTCTTGCAGAGGACAGGGGCTCGATTGCCAGTACCCACATGGCAGCTAACAACTGTCCATAACTCCAGTTCCAGGGGAATCTGACACTCTTCTCTGACCTCCATGGTCATTGCACAACACAGGTACACTTACATACATGCAGGCAATACACTCATACACACAAAATTAAAAATAATAAAATATTTAAAAATTTTAAAAAGCCTGGCATCTTTATTGAATTGAAAAATCCTTGCAACCTAAAGAGCTATGTGATTTGTGTGTGTGTGTGTGTACCCATGTATATGTATGTGGAGGCCAGAGGCTGACCTCAGGTGTCCTCCCCCGTTGCTCTCCATTTTGGTTTTTGAGGCAGTGTCTCTCCTCAAACCTGGAGCTCACTGTTTTGGTTAGCTCAATGGCCATTGAACTCTGGGGATCCACCTGTCTCTGCCCCCTGACTTTGGGGTTACAGGTGTGTGCCTCCATGCCCCGTTTTTATGTGGGTACTGGGGATGTGAATTCAAGTTCTCATGATTATGTAACAGGCGTTTTACTAAATGAGCCATGGCCCCAGTGCCTGAGCTATGTGCTTAAAACAAACAAACAAACAAACAAAAATACCCACTTTCCTTCTTGGAAATAAATGTCACAGCTAATGAAATTGTTTTTTACTTGTGAGAGTCTTTGATCAATAGTTTGCTTTTCTGTGCATCAGTGGCCATTGATAGAGGGGAGTGTCCCTCTGTCCTGCACCTGAGACAAGCTCTGAAGAGTAGCATTGAGCTGAAGGTGTTATTGACTAGTTATATAACCTGTGAATTGGGCTAAATGGTCTTAAAATGCTATAAAACTGTGATTTTTATGATACTCAATTCCAGCTCTAGTATTTGCATGCTTTACTCTGTAGACCTATAAATCCCACCCTCTCTCTCATAATAAGCACTACTCCTCTGTTTCATTTTGAAAAGTTGAGTTAATATGTTCATCTGCTGTAAATGGCCAAAATACTATTAGCTGGTTGTTAATCCTGTTAATGATAGATAGATAGATAGATAGATAGATAGATAGATAGATAGATAGATAGATGATAGATAGATACTTGGTATCAATTGAAGTAACCCATTTTGATCAGATACGAAATTCTAAAAACAAAATTTTTAATTCAGTTCATGAGTTCTCCTCTAATAGCTTTTGTTTTTAACATTATTTTAGCCTGACGAGATTATGTGCACCTGTAATCCCAGCACTTAGGAAACTGAGATTGGGGGAAAAAAGTCACTTGAACCTAGGATGAACAAACAATGAAATCCCTATTTTATTTTTGTTTTTTCAATATTTTATTTTTTAGAAGCATTTCATTACAGCTTTAACATACTCAGTAACAATTTCCAGAGCAAAGATACCTCTCTTTCAAAAGTGGATATAAAAATTTTAGGTTCACTATTGAATTAATACAGTTATACAATATTGAACTCAGTATAATCCCTGTAAGACATAAAATTGAATGAGTTTTTAACCTTTAAAAAAAGATTTCCAGTTCATGTTAAAATATACTGTTTCTTACAGAAAGACGCATTATTTTTGCTAATAACACTGAGATGTTGGTGCATGTGTCTCTCATCTATACAACAAAGACCTCTAGATAGGCTGACTAGATTCACCAGATGGACAAGTAGTGGGGGAATGGCTGGGGGTGCCGACAACACAGCAGACAGTAGGGATAACAGAGTATAAGGACTCTAGGTGGAGGAGGGAGGCTATGGGAGGGTACCATTTGGGAAGTGGGTGTATAGTTGAATAAGATGGCTTGGGATGTTCTGTGTGATACACACACACACACACACACACACACACACGCACGCACACGCACACACACACAAATCACCAAATTTAAAAAATGAATTATATGGCCGGACATGGTGGCGCACGCCTTTAATCCCAGCACTCAGGATGCAGAGGCAGGCGGATCTCTGCTACAGGGAGCCCCTGTCTCAAAAAGACCGAAAAAAAGATAAAAGGAGGGTGGCTGGAGAGATGACTCAGTGGTTAAGAACACTGACTATTCTTACAGAAGACCTGGGTTCGGAAGCATAAAAATTTACGTCATGTTAATTAAACATTACCATTGAAATCTACCCAATGGCTTTATAGACATACACAGGTTCCAAGGACCTGAGTGCAACCGATTATGACTAGTAATAATCAGATACATGCAGATGAGAAATCACTATTTTTAAAAAACACACTAAGGGGCTGGAGAGATGGCTCAGTGGTTAAGAGCACAGACTGCTCTTGCAGAGGACCTGGGTTCAATTCCCAGAACCCTCATGGTGACTAAGAACCATCCTTGACTACAGTTCCAGGGGAATCCGACACCTTCTTCTGACCTCCTCAACATTAAACAACATGGGTGTGCTCACATACATGCAGGCAATACACTCATACAAATAAAGTAAAAAAAAATAATTATATAAAAAAGTATACATAAAAAACACTAAATATGCGTAGAAACTCACACAAGCAATCAGAAAAAGGAATGTGATACTTTTTTTAAAAATTTATGTATATATTTGTGTGCCTACTTGTCTGTATGTGCACCACATGTAGGCAGTGCCTACAGAAGTCAGAAGGGGGTGTTGGATCACTTGGAACTGGAGTTATAGGCAGTTGTGAGCTGCTGGATGTGGGTGCTGGGACCTGAACTCAGGTCCTCTATAAGAGCAGCAAGTGCTCTTGACCTAAGCTGTCTCTCCAGCCCCTGATATTTTGTAGTCATTGGTCAGGCAAAGGTCTGCATAAATTGAAACATTATAGAGACTCTTTAGTCAATTCTTATGGATGGTGTCTTTCAAAGCACTATGTTTTTATTACTTGTTCTTCAGAACCATTTCTGTATTTATGGTATCTCAGAACTTTCCTCTTTATCTGGGGGAATCCATAATTTTGGTTGGTTTTTTTTTTCTGTTCTTGAGTTTTTTCATATGGTAATTATTATTCACACGTGTACATGCAACAACAGGCTTTGCTTCCCCTCTTCTCCTCACCAACCTCCCTCTTGGAGTTCTTGGCCCATCCCCTGATGATATAAACCTGCTGTTCCTGATTGGATGGACATGCTGGGAGGGCCCACTTCTCTTTTGTGAGTATTGGGATGCTGAGTGTAGATAGGCAGAGACAGGCATAGCCCTTTGCCTTGATTGCAGACCTTCTGTCCTGTCTACCTGCATACCACCTACCCTTTTACCTCAGAGCTACTAATTCAGAATTTGTGGACTTGACTAAATGAAATTTCTCTCTTCTGGAAATTTACTTTCAAGCCACAATGAGTATAGCTTGTTAGGCAAGGTAATGGCACAAATTAGGTTGTTGGAGTCATGTTTAGATTACCTAGAGAAATGCACTCAGGGAATTGGCTTGGTAGTCTGTTCATCCTGCCAGTAGTTAACTGTTGTTTGTGAGCCCTTCATTGATCAAAGCAAAGCCAGTAGCAACTTTGCTAGGTTAGCAGCTCAGGTCACTTTCCAGGTTGCTTTTCTTTATGCTGTTGGAAAAAAACATCATTCAAGTCCAAAGTAATAAGGGGTTTTCTTTCTTTATGCCACATCTTTTATACAGGTGAAAATATTATCTCACTGTATTAGTAATTTAAAGGTAGTGACAGCATTTTCCTCAAATAGGAGAGCAATGAGCACTTTTTCTGACTTGTCTGCCATTTTTTTTATTTACCCTAAGTATAGTAATTAGCTGATTGTAAGCAAATTGCATCAATCAAGTTGTGCCACAATTAAATCGGGGGCTGAGTTGGCCCTTACACACAAACCTGTCAGTACTCTTTAGGGATTGGCGGAATGACCTGGCAAGGAAGCTGTTCTGTGGCTTACACCAGACTCCTAACTATCACAGCCCTCTGAAGCTTCAACCATAGAAATGTATGGAAGAAAAATATTTCCCTTGATAAATGAAGCCTTGCTTTATTCAATTGGTAGAAATTTAGACTAGAGCAAATATTTAAAGCTTTACTATAATGGTCTGAGAGCAAACTATTATTTTCCAAGTGATATTGAATTAAAAACCCCATCCATTTTCTGCCCATGCAAGGCAGTGCAATTCCCTGGAAATTGATTTTTTTTTCAGGGCTTACTTTTCCCAAGCTTTAGCTATATGGAAAACAATATCTTTATCAAATCTACTTTGTGAATAAAGGTGGCAGTTAATTTTTAAACTGGACCAATGCATAAAAAATTACCACATACATCAAATGAAGTCTGACTAGTCTTAAAGTCATTTGATAAATGATCATTTAGGGAGTTCCTTAAAATTCTAAAACGTTATTTTGTGGGTTCCACCATATTTTACCTACCATTCATGATTACAAACGAGTGATATTTTTGGTATAAGTTTTCTAGAACCTTAGAAAACATGCATGTTGTTTTGTACATTAAATTATAGAAGTGTTGTTAGTTTATAACTATGTTTTCCCTTTATGCATTTCCCTTTATGATGTTTGAGTGTATGTGCTTTATAAAGGGCATTGATTTGGCACTTATCCACCAGCATAGTATGATTTGTGCCCAGCTATTGCTATACACTAATTTATCATTTGCAAAGAAAAGCTCTTTTTATACTAGGAAAATAATAAACATGATTCAGTTAGTTCAATGTTAATTATAGGGTCACCTGAGGAGTTTTCAGGGGCTGGTTTATTTACACAGCACGCATTAGATTACTGTCTGTGTGTCTGTGTGTGTCTCATCTTCCCAAATTTGGCTTTGGTTATGTGCGCTGCTGCTCAGCCTCAGTTATAGGCATTGCTGGAGACCGTTTTCTTCTCAGCATCTCTGACCTGACCCTTTTGAGCTATGTTATATCATTCCATTTTGACACCTTTTATCAAACTTTAATGAAATGACCCAGGCAAACAAATTGTCATTAAACTTTCCATCACTTTGTCCCTTGGTATCGTCTTTTATAAATTGGACAGCAAATGTTGTATTGATCTTCTCGTTCTTGCAGCTGAACTTGAAATGACCCAGACTGCTTGTTGTTTATGGCCCAGAGTTTTGATTTTCCTTGACATTTCCATCCACAGCATGACATTCTTTTTGTTTTTCTTTCTTTCTTGTGGAGATGAATGAACAAGACATACGATATCGGGACACCCTTGGTCATGGCAACGGAGGCACTGTCTACAAGTGAGTAGTCAATTTTGTTTAAACTTTCTGTCTGTTTGGCCAAGTGCTGGGTACCCAAATACTTCATGGCAAAGATTTTTACACGACCACCACTCCTTAAATTTTATTTCTACAGTCGACTCAAGAATTCTGTAAGGCATCTTCCATTTTCTCAGAAATTACCTGAAAATGCATTTATATTGCCTGTTTAATATTTCTGAATCTGCATCTCTCCTGGGTGAATGGTTAATAGTCCACCTTGTTTTCCTTTGCTCTTTAACACCATTTTTTTTTTAAACTTGTTTGCACCCTGTGCTAGTCCCTTGCCTGTTTACAGTTATGCCCAGTGGAAGCCGAACCTTATAAATACCATTGCTTTGCCCTGTGTTGACACTGTAAGTTATTAAAAAGCCTTCTTGTTGTATTTCCTTCTCTCCTCACCCTACTTCCCCAGGAGAATTACTACACATATTGATGAATACGTTAAGTTATAAAACTCTCCCAAATTCCAGTTGTAGCAATCTTACCCTAAAGGAGCATTCATTTTCATATTAAAAAATGCTAACCATAAAAAACAGTTCTCTCAACAGGGAAGTCTTTCTGATGAAGCAGTGCAAAGTTTAAACTACATAATGTAATATCTGGTACTTAATAGTCTGCAATGGTGTATGAAAAATATTCCACCAGGAATTTAAAAATCCATACTCTGTAAGAAAGCCCTGGGGGAGTAATAAAGCTTCCCTCTGGAGAGCTGTTTTCCGTATACACTCTAACCTTGAATCACATTATGGTTGTATTTTTGCCTTGGATATTTTGCTACTGATATTAAAAATAATTTGAGTTATAAAAGAATTAATTTGTATTCTAATTTTCTAGTCATGTGCTTTGGATTTAAGTTCTGACTAACAACATGAATACAAATTAAAATGACCCTCTTGTTCTGTGGCCATGAAGGGCACATGTCTCATGTGTTGATGCAGCCTTGGCATGGAGTTCTGGGTGGGATTCCATTTCTCAAAGTCAAGAGTTCCTTTGAAGTCATGTGACCTAGTCACCCATCCAGGGCTCCAGTCTCCTTATGCAAGTACAGCCAACATGTTAGTCCTCTCCTCCAAACACAGTTTTTTAAGAACTTAAACCAGGTATGGTGGCACTTGCCTGTAGTCCCAGTTCTCAGGATGTTGAGGCAGGAGGATTCTCAAGAATTCAAGGCTATACTGGGCTACTTAATGAGTTCAAGGCCAGTAAGAGCTACAGTGTACAATACTGTCTCAAAAACCCAAATTAAAGAAACTGTTTGGATTATTTTTCCCACAGATTATTCAAGAATGTAAACTGTTGATCTGAAAGTTAAGTCCTTGCACTTTGAGAATTCAGAGAAATAAGTTTGCTTTTGGTGCTGGGGGTTGAGCCCAGGGCCTGGTACATACTGTATTCTACCCCTGAGCTATACCTCTGGCATAGATGTTAACATTTTAATCATCTGTAAAATGGAAATTGAAATGCAAGTATCAAAAAGAAGGATGTGTACATGGGAGTGGAAATAACTTGCCCATTTCCCCAAGGGAAAATTGCAACATGAAATTATGCTAGTGTTGGTTTAAAATTTATTTTTAATCATGATGAAATATATTTAAGATTTATCATCTTATCCATTGTATATATGTAATTTAATGGCATTAAATACATTCACATTCATCAGCTGCCATCAACTCCATCCATCTCAGAACTTTCCATCTTATAGAGTGCCACACATTAAACAAGGACTCCCATTCATCTGTTGTTGGTTTTAGCTAAGAAGCAGAGCTAGAATTCCTTTCAGCAGGACCATAATGTCCAAGAGAACACTATCTTCATGTCCTCATCATGGGCTCTTTTAATTTATTAGGATGCTGTCATGACATCACCAGTATATCCTAAGAGTCATCTAGCCACCAACATCAATACTCAGTATGAGTGTTATAGGTCCACTGTTTGAACTGTCGTTGCTTATGGAAGGTGGATAGGGTTATCACAATAAATTTAGTACTTTAATAGATTTCTCATAGAAGTTTCCATTTATCCTCTTGCTTTTATGATACTATAATTTGTATGTTTTATTTTGTTTTGAAACTGGATCTTCCCATGTTGCCCAGGTTAGTCTTGAATTCTTTAGGTCATGTGGTCCTTCTGCCTCAACCTCCTGAGTGCAGTACATCACTGCTCTCAAGTCATACCCAGTTCTTTTTTTTAATTCTTTAAATTTATTTTTATGTGTATGCATGTTTTGCTTGCATATATTTAAGTACACCTGTGCATGCAATATCCATGGATGTCAGAAGAGGGCATCAAATTCCCTGTAACTGGAGATGTTATAGCTGCCCTGTGTGTGCTGGGAACCGAACCCAGGTCCTTTGCAAGAGAAGCCAGTGTTCTTAACTACCGAGCTATCTCTCCAGCCCCACCATACCAGATTTGTAAGGGGAAAGAGCAGGAAGATATCCAAGTACAAGCCAATCGAGGTTGATCATTGTGCTTCATCTCTGCGGCTCCAGGCATGTGGTATTCTTGTGCCCCTGGCTAGTTCAGCGCAGAGCAATGGTGCAGTCACCAAGAAATGAGACTCCACTTCACTGGGGTCTTTATGGAACACTGTCATGATGTGATTGGGTTTCTTCTACACTAAGTTTACCTTAATGATGTTAACTATATTTTATTTGTTTGTTTGTTTTAGAAAATGATTACATTAGAAGCTATGGTACATAAACTAGATGAAGAAAATATTTGAAAATCCACTCATTGGTAACAGAACTGCCTAATGGTTCCATTTAATTTTTTCCTGTAAAGTGTAATAAAACTAATATGTGCGCATCAGAAGTTTGGTATTTCAGTCTTCTTGCTTCACTTACTGGGCTACTGTAAAGTTTTCAAGCCTCGTGACACCATGTGTATTATGTAACAGCAATTTTCATTGTTTAAGTCTCAATGGGGTCCATAATTGACAGTGTGAAAATTTCTCCCAAGATATCTGAACCCAGTGGTAGTGTGGAGTCTATGTATAGTCCTGTATTGAGCCACTCTCTGTTCTGATAGTGACCTAAGCATGTGATTTTGAGTTGGTGTTTCTTCTATGACTAATTTGGGTAAATAAAGAAAATAAATACCTGAGACTAAAGTATAACCTAATATAGAAAGAGGGAAAGTTTAAGAAAAGATCATGGGATCATTTTCATTATTCCGCTACTTGAAGCACTATAAATCTCTCAAAAAACAATTGTTTTTTACAGGAAAGACACATATTCTATTCTTTGACTTGCAGTGAACTTAAAACCTTTGAGGATATGGAAAGTAGTATATGTTGTGGTTAGGTATGAGGGCTCTGAATTTGAATCATGCATCTGCCACTAATTGGCTGTGTGACCTTGAGCAATTTGTGTCTTATCTCCTGCCTCAGTTTTTCTGTAGAGTGTGAATAATAATAGTATCTTTCTTTTTAGATTTGGTAGGGTTAAATGAGGTGATCCATAAAAGGCTAAGCACTATGGCTGATACTTTGAAATATTAGCTACTGGTAGTATATGTATTTATACCCTGTACTTAAACCCTGTATTTTCTATTCTTGCTTGGCCATGTAATTTCTTTTGAGAAACATTTATAAAATAATTATCTTGGGGGGAGTGGTTGTTAGAGAATTGTCTCAGTTGTTAAGAGCACTTGGTGCTCTTGTAGGAAACCTGCGTTCAGTTCCAGCACCCACACTGAGCAGTTCACAGCTAACTGTAACTTCAGTTCCATGGGATCTGACACCCTCTTCTAGACTCTGGTGGGTACCTGCACACATGTGGTACACATACATACAAGCAGGCACACACTTATATACACAAAATAATATTTTTAAATTTAAAAAATATTAGCATTATAGTTGAACCATATTAACTTGGAGAAATTCTATGTTAATGGTACATATTATAACTTATTTTATATTTTCAAATTGTGCCATGATAAAATTTATTATATCATGTTTTATGATTTTTCTAAAAGCTTCAAAGTATTTTCTCTAAGGTCATAATTTATTTCCACATTATCACAGGATAGCTAGTATAATATAAACCCATTGTACCTTTAGAGGATAAGAATTTGTTTGGCTGTTCCATGGCAAAACCAGAATTCTAGGTGCATCTTCTTCTCCCGCTACACCCCTGTACATTTCCCCCAGGCAGTGTTGTTTCTTAAGGTCAGGTGGAGTCTGTTGTGTTCCTGGTCTTCCCTCATGTGGCAGATACAGTCTTAAGGGTTGAGTGGATGCTTGGTGCATGTTGGCTGAAATGAGGAGGCAAGTGGAGGTTTTTTCAGTCAGGTTTCAGTGGGGCTCTGTTGTTGGGTCCTCCCCTGTCTTGCTAGCTTTAAAAGCTGTATAATTAGTTTAGAATATTGAACTAGAAGGGTAGGAATTTCCAAACTAAAGACTTAGATTTAATGATTAATTTTCTGGTAAATGTTAAGGCTTTGATTACTTAGCATCTACTGACCCCACATACTTAGCCACTGTCTTCTCTTGTTGAATAGTATCTGATATTGAAATGAAAGTAATTAGCAGGTCCAGTTACTCGACACATTCTGTAGCTCCAAAGCCAGCCACTTGGACTCTGTATTTGATAGAATTGCGCTCTATCTCTGAGTTCAGAAGTCAGATATGATGTAACTCCTAGAACTAAATTGTGCTATCAGTTAGCTAACAATCACCAAAGTCACCAACAGGTTTTGTTTCCTGATGTATAATCACCAAAGTCATCAACAGGGTTTGTTTCCTGATGCATATTCTTTAAGCTTCAGATTGTTATTGTTTGGGTCATGAATTTCAGTCTCTAGACTGGAATTGGAAATCAGTAACGAATTTTCTACTTCTAACTCCTCCCAGTGCAGTGAAGAATCCAGTCTAGATACTGGGTAGTTTTCTGTGATATAATGAGTAGTATTCTGCCTAGATGGTGTTTTAAAGATTGAATATACAACATTATTTAAGTATCATTATATAGAGACAA